TTTTTGCAGATATCTCTTCAACTGTGGGTAGCTTAAAATGTTCTCTTAACAGGCAAGAATTTAGGTATTGAGGATCTAGACATATACGTAGAGAATTATTTGGTTTTCTTACAATTACTACAGCATTCACAAAATCTGTTGGTTCTTCTATTTTCCTTATGATTTTATTGGACTCCATTTCTTTCAATTCATTTTTGTAATCATTTAATAGTTTCATAGGCACAGGTCGACAGGAAATAACTTTACCCATGTAATTTGGTATCAATTTAAAATCATATACATAGTCCTTTATTTCACCTGTTCCTGAAAATAATGTTGAATATTGATTTATAATATCTTCTTTTTGAACGTGACACATGGTAATAATTAAACTAAGTTTTTTAATTGTAGGTAAGCCTAGTAAAGGTGCAGAGTCACAATCAACTACATGGAATTTTAATAATTGTTTTTAACCTTTTATCGAACACAATAAATTTATTGTTCCCAGTAAATTAATAACAGAGTTGTTATAGTTTCTCAATATAGCATTTGAATAATTTAATTGTTCTTTAATATTTAACTGATTCAAAAGTTTCTTACTTATTACATTGCATCCTGCACCAGTGTCAAGTTTGAACAACAGTTTTTTACCTAATTCAATAAAAGTTACCTGTACCGTCCAGTCCTGAGTATTGATGCTACCCAGTAAGATTTCATCTTGTTGGATTTCTTTAATTTTATGAGCATTCCATTGTTTACTTCTGCAAACACTTGCAAAATGGTTTGATTTCTTACAAAATCTACACATTTTTCCATATGCTGGACATTGACGATGAGAGTGTTCGTATCCACAGCTTCTACACTTAAACATTTTTGGTTGTTGGTTGGTATTAAAATGCTTTTTGTTTATTTTATCTATTTTTTGTGTATCTTCCTCTTGTAATTGGTGCAAATAACCTGTAGCAATTTCTGTTGTTTTGCACATTTCTATGCATCTCTCCAATGTGAGGTCTGGTTCCCGCAGCAGTCTTTCTCTCAGTTTGGGGTCTGTTATACCATTTATTAACTTATCCCTTATTAGGCCGTCCCGTAGATCGCCAAAGTTACAGGTTAAAGCCAGTTTTTTAATTTCTGACAGGTAATAAATGAAATTTTCTCCCTGTTTTTGATTACGAGCGAAGAATATGTGACGATTAATAGTTTCATTAGTTTTAGGAAGACAATATTCTTTCAGGGCTGTGAGAACTTTCTCATAATCACTTTTTTCTGGTTCTGTCAGGTTAAACGTTTCAAATTTATCCAAACCCTCTTCACCTAGTAGGTGCAATAGTATTGCCGCTTTTGTGTCTGAGGGTTTTTTGTGACATTCATTTGCACACATGTATAATTCTACTTGTCGTAACCATGTTTTAAAATTTTTTGCAAGGTCCCCTTCAAATGATAATGGCAGAGGTTGCGTTAAGGCAAGACTAGGTGTTGTGTCTGCCCTTATACTGACTGACCTGTTTGTTGTTGGAGCGAGTCCCTGGTTCTGATTATTATTCGACTGCGCCATATGTTAAACTTATATATTAAACCAATCTTATACTATATGTTAATCTTATGTTAAACTTTGTAAATTAAACAATTTATTTTTAGAGCATCACGTCTTTTATTTCACACTTAATACCATAGATTAACTCATATAGATTATATAACTATAATATAGAAACAATAATGACACAGATTATATTCAATAATGTCACACTTCGCTATAAAACGTTTTATAATGTTGATATGTAACCCACTATCTCATAAAATCAAAGGATTGAAAATATACAATACAGAGCATTTAATAAGGCAGGGGAGTTATAAAATCATATCAAAAATTCGTAATGTTATGTTTTACAGTTTAAGACTAGTGAAAAACTTATTGAGCCTCTACTGAAAAGTAACAACATTGTACATCGGCCTCTGTTCTTCGGACAAGTCGAAACAGCAATAACATTATACATACACAGTATTGTATTTTTATTTTAAAAGTATAATTCCATATTCATTTTATATGTGAAAACTTATTATTAGCCATATAGTTAAACAAAATTGAAAAATAATAATAGCTGTAATTATTCCGAAGAAATAAAATAAATTCCAAACTTCCATATTAATAATATAAATGCGAAGGAGTGTCTGTCAATCTATTACCTCTTCAGGCAAACCGCCTAGTCGAGTCAATAAAGACATAAAACAGGCAAAACTTGGAAACCCGGTGGAACAGCTTCGATTTTGATATTTTTTTTAAATTTGGTTTTTTTTATATTATTCAAAATCAGAAACATTTGGAAGGGGGGAAATATTTTTTTTTATTGTTTAAACAATATTTATGACATTTTTATAAAAAAAACAGTTTTATCGCTTTATTTTGAAAAAAATATTATTATGTTAAAGTAAGTATAAAAAATAGTTAATTGAGGCATTTAATAATTATTTAATATTTAAACAATTAAAATACGATGTATTGGTCAATAATACGAATGCGTTGAGCACTTACGTTATATTTTAGTTACTTCATATATATATATATATATCATTAGATATTAGTCATTGTCGGACCTATCTATAAAATATATATATATATATATTTTATAGATAGGTCCGACAAATGACTCCACCCCACCTGATGTTAAGTGAGGGTGAAGTCCATACGCGAAGATAACTGATACAGCAGTTCTACCTGCCACACCAGCCGTCCTCACCCTGCCGGCCTGCATGTTGCTTCTTCACGCCTCTTTTAAAGGATCCCAGGTTGTAAGAGGGAGGGAACACGTGAGCGGGCAGAGCATTCCATTTACGGATAGTGCGATAAAGAAATGAGTCACCAAATTTCTTTGTACGCGTTGGAATTGTGGCCACAGTAAGACGGTGACAACGTAGGCCAGCGCGCGTGGTCCTCTGAAGGAAAGGGGTAGGTGGGATAAGAGAGAATAACTCCTCAGAACACTCGCCGAGGTACAGACGATAGAACGCGCTTAGTGACGCCACGTCACGGCTCAAGGTGTTTAGTCACCTCCTCATCGCCTATGATGCGGATCGCGCGCCGCTGTAACCTATTCAAAGCATCGAGCAAGTACTTGGCGGAGCTATCCCAGAGGTACAAGCAATATTCCACGCAGGACCGCACTTGCGTTTTGTATAACAAGCACAGTTGATCGGGCGTGAAAGAACGCACCTTGTTCAGGACTCCGAGTTTGCGTGAAGCTGTTTTGATCACGGTTTCGATGTAGTCCTTTGGATTCAGGTCTGAGCGAACTTATATACCGAGCATGGAAATGGGTCTCTGTAGCGGTAGTGTTGTGCCCTGAAGATGATAAATAAATAAAATAAATATAAAATAAGATGACGGATCAGATGGTTATTAAGGAGCTTTTCTAGAACTTTACATAAACTGCTATTGGCCGGTAGTTTGCCGGGTCTGAGCGATCCCCTTTTTTGGGCACCGGTTGCACGTAAGGATCTCTCCAAGTCTCCGGCACACGCCCCAAAGAATACGAGCATTGGTACAAACGCGTGAGCACGGGAGACAACTCCGTTGCACATTTTTTCAGTACTACTGCTGGGATGCCATCAGGTCTACTAGCTTTCCGGACGTCGAGTGATTGCAATTCGGCACGAACCTCACACTGCCTGATTTTATTATCAGGCATCGTTGTGCCACAGTGAGGTAATGATGGTGGTAGTGCATTGCAATTATCGATTCGGGAGTTAGCCGCAAAGAGTTTTGCCAGTAAATCGGCTTTCTCCTGCGGCTTATGAGCTAGTGTTCCGTCTGGGCATCTCAGAGGTGGTAGCGAGGGCTGGCAGAAGGTTTTTTGCACGGCCTTGGCCAAACGTCAGTAGCTACGGGAGCGTAGGATGCGTTATAAGTTCCTCGCCAATACGTGCAACGCGCTGGGCATCCGCTCTGATGTAAGCCTTCTTACAGGCCTTTGAAGCAAAATTGTAGGCTGCTTTGAGTGAATCGACCTCGGCATCCTTGAGAGCGCGGCCTCTGACCCAATATATATATATATATATATATATATGTATATATATATATCATATCATATATTTTTGTTATTAATATTTTTTTTATTTATATTAATAATGAAACTATTATAATCTAAAATAAACTAATATATCCTAACTTTTTTATGTATATCAGCGTCATGTCATTATATTACATGAAAGATCTTATAATTAATTGTTTTTAAAAGTTTTTCATATAATAACATGTAAATTAAAATTATTTGTGATAACAATGTGAAAACAATAACATAAACATATTTTTTTTGTGAGTTTTCAATTGATATTTTATAAAAAAACATTTTTTTCCAAAAATGTCATAAAAATTGTTTAAACAATATAAAAAATTATTTCCCCCTCTCCAGAGGTTTCTGATTTCAAATAATATAAAAAAACAAAATTATTAAAAAAAAACATCAAAATCGAAGCTGTTCCACCGAGTTTCCAGGTAAAAAGCTTCATTGACTCGATTATATGTTTGCGTCGCAGCCTCGAAATCGAAATTAACAGTTTGATTGACTATTTGTAAAAGTTAATTCGGTGGATTAGACTGGTTTTCACAGCCACTTGACAATATTGATATTTGTTATTTTGGGGTCACTGTAAATGTTTTCTGCAGAAAATCAACGCAGTTGTAACTGGGTTCAAATTAATTACTCCCTATATTGACATTATTTAATTAAACCTATGGATGGATTCTTCATTTAGAAATACTGCGATATTGTGTAATTTCACACCTATTTCTCGTAATTATGCAAGTATATTTTCATTAACTACAAACCAAAATGGAACACGTGTGAAATCGAAACAGAGCTCCGCCAGTCGAGATGCGCGCGGAGTGAAAGTGGGATTCGGGGAAGGGCGACCTTCTGGCGGGAATCAGCTGATCGGGTTTGCGCAGTGCGCAAATCTGAGGGGCGAGGGGCGGAGGTGCAGGCTGAGGGGTTGTGAGCCTGAGCGCCGGGACAGTCGCGCGACCGCGGCCGCGCGCCCTCGCGGTCCTACAGCCCCCGCGATCACGATGACACCGCGCGCGCACCTCCGCACCGCCGACGTGTCATGAGAGACTCAACACCCGATACATGTACAAAAATGTTCGATATGTCAATTCAAGAAGTGAACGGCAAAGGGCCGAAGAAGAGGAAAAAGTCGTTAGAGCGTATCTGTGATAATGAGAGGCGGGAGAGCGCGGAGGACGGCGCGGGAGGCGTGCAGCTACTGCACTGGAGGGATATGCCACGCCACCTGCAGTTCAACCCCTACGTGCTGACGGGATACCGGCCGCTGCAGGGCTGGCTCGACTGTATCCGCAGCCTTTTCTACTTCCACAACGAGACTATTAACATACTCACACATGGTAACCGTACATTTTTATCTTTAGAAAAATAGTAACAGAATAATTGCTGTACATTTATAAGTATATAATGAAAATTTTGTTCATGGTAATTCTACACTTTAACATAAACCTGTAGCTATCTCAAGGTATTTTTTTTACAAATTATGGCATCCCAATCTACTACTAGTAAAATATCAAATATACAAAAGTAAATAATAATCGTAGGTATTAATTAAACGATGAATTGAAGGAGAATAATTAGGGAAAGATAGGCGAACAAATTTGTGTTGCGTCTCTAACAAAGGCAGCAATTAAGGAAGAGCATTTATCAAATCCCCGAATATTTTAGGAAGGGTATGTAATTTAGATTTAAAGATTACGGATGTGGTGTTATTTTTAAACATAATGGCATTTGCCAGATGTTGTTAGAACAAAAGGCCAATAACAATATGCATTTCTAAATAAACCAACAATGCTCCAATTATCGTACCGGAAACAATGGAAAATTGAATAAATAGGCATTCGATGGGTATTGTGAAGTAATTCCCAGTCACAAGCATTCATTTTATGCATTCGTAGCGATGCGAATGGCTACGGCGTTCGTAGACTGTAGCACACCCTCGATTTTTAATACGGCGAGCATTGAAATTGTGCCAATACGGAACGGCAAAGTAGGTAATGAATGAAAATTCCGACCCTTTTGTTAGAATTTCTAGCGGTAGGAATGTAAAAGGCGATTTTTCTTCGTCAGAAAGTATTGTTACTAACTGCCATTTTGTCGGTACAAAATAAATTTGTGTAAAAAGCATTTTGGTTAAGTGTACAGCGATTGTTAAATTACAAAGGTTTTTACGTGGGAAGGAAAAATTATTAATTATTTTCCCTTGATTTCCTTTGTACTGAAATCCGCAGTAACATTTTATATGTTCTGATTAATTTTTAGCTTCAATAAAACGATAGAAGAACCGTCTATAAGACATTTTATTTACCATTCGTTAATATTTACGATGTACTTAAGTATACCTACATACATACATATATGAAATTTTTGAGTAAACTAAAAAATAGGTGTGTCACAATTTGTGTGTGTTAAATTCTGATGGGTAAATATTAATTCAGAAATTCAATATTAATCTAAATACTAAAAAGTATACATATATGAAATTTTTGAGTAAACTAAAAAATAGGTGTGTCACAATTTGTGTGTGTTAAATTCTGATGGGTAAATATTAATTCAGAAATTCAATATTAATCTAAATACTAAAAAGTAATAACAACAGTAATAATTAATAATTTTTGGTGAATGATAATATTTTATATAGTTATATTATAATAACTTATCAATAATAATTTAATAATCTTTTTAATTTAATAAAAATATAATCTAATTTAATTCTCCTAATAATAAATTAATCACGTCACGTCGATGTCGTTTCACGTTACGCGCTTTCTAGGCAGAACTGAAAACCAGTGCTTTGCTCTTAGAGCAAAGGTATCGCTGAGTTTTTGCCTTTTTCTGTCGTTACGGCACACAGTTACATACCTAGTAATTAATTGTTCTATTTTTTTACTTGAATTTGTGTGCTGTACTGATGGGAATAAATGATTTATCTATCTATCTATCTATCTAAGTAAAAGTAAAGTAAAAGGTCGTACGCGTCTGTTGTATTATTAATACATATTACACTGTTGTACACATACTGAGCTCCATTAACTTATACGTATTAGTCTAACACTAAGTTAATAGTGCTAAATAAAAAAAGAAAATTTCAATTATAAAGAATTTCACGTGGTGCAGGGAACCTGGAGACGGGATTTTCTTTTAAATTTAAACATGTAATAGTTAAATGCTTAAAAAATTAAAATATCACTAAATTAAAATAGTTAAAAGTTAATGTTTAAAATGCGCATTACCTTATTGAATTCGATTCAACTCGTTAAAATACATCTAAACCCATTTTTAAATCATACGCTGAAATGCACCTATCATTTCTTCTAAAAATTTATTGGGTTAAATGAACTATAATTTATTTAAGAAAATTGTTATTAAGTACAGTGAGCTAGCTTCGTCTAATAATAATATATATGACTTTTTATTTAATGGAAATCATACTAAATTGTGAAATGCTTAATTCACACATAGGTAGCTGATTCGTCAACACATCATAAGATAATTATCTTCTATATTCATATCTATGTCGTCACATTGCGAGCCAACCTCATTTGAATATAAGTATATATCAATTTTATGCTATAAAATTTGGTTTGTTACATATATAGACAACAAAAAATTGGACTCTTGCTTCTCTACTATCGTTTTTAAAGAAAAATCTTAAAACGGCTAGAGCTAATGAATGTCAGCGAGTAAAGTAGAACTACGTATAGAACAACGTTACCAAATTATTGCTCTCTGTATTGGTTCCACAAATAAAAACATTGGGAATAAGTAACTACTAACAAACGTCGCTAAGGTGCCACTAATGGACTGATAGTGCATTTCTTAATATATTAAGTATGTATTTTTACTAGCTAAACACTACGAAAGTTATGAATAAATCAATCCTCGTAGCCACTTCTCAGTATAAAGGACATCACTCACTAGAGCCTCCCGGCAGCCCAGTAACAGCGACAGGCCACGCGCGGTTAATATAATTTTTCGGACTCCTTTAAGCATACGCTCGTTACATGAACTCCGGCTCGCCTCGGGTCGATTACGGACGGCGAGCGGATCACTCAGTAACAACACGCACAACTCCCTGTTCGCTGGCACGGTTATCTTGCGATTACGTCCACTCGTAGAATATCTACCACAAGTGTACGCCAAAAGTCAAAGCGGTACGGTACTAGTCGAGAATCAGGAGGCTCTATTTTAAAGTAGGTCTAGAGCGGTGATTCCATCTCACTGATAATACTGATGTTAAGTTGTGGTGGTGTCCAGTCGCGGAGATGGCTTGTGTCGCAGTTTACTGGAAACAGCTTTCTTCATCTTGCAGACCTAAAAGTTGCTTCTTCAAGGCTCTATGGATGAACTGGAGGAGGCTCTGAAAAGAAATGGGAGGAAGGGAACTTGAGCGGGCAAAGCGTTCCATTCGAGGATAATGACCGATGACCTTATAAGGCCACATTTGGTATTCAATAGATCTAAGTTTTTGACGGTTCAATATATTATATTTTTTTAGCACCTGCGTTATATCGCTTCATCGCTACACTATAATGGATCGATATAAGAACAATCATTATAATCATGATCAATTAATAGATTATTAGTAATAGTTTCTAGGTATTAGGCGAGTGTGTTAGACAATCATTTAATGGCATTCCACTTACCGTACTAGTACTACGAAGCTAAACAAACAAAATGCCTGTTTGAAGAACGAATGGAAATATAAAAAATACTAATGAAACTCAGAAACGACTTTAACACAGTTCTGTGACATAATTTCTTCACTTGTTTTTTTTATATTCGATTAAAATTGGTATTTTATAGGGAGTCGAATTGAATTAGATATCTGTTTTTTGAAAAAAATATAATATTATCTCTATTCGGATTTAAGATGCGAAACTAACTGGAGCAGCAACAAGTCTTACATACTTACAAAAGTTGCATTAGCATTTTATTATTTGATTTTTTCTTGCTAAGGTGCTTTGCCACGGTTATTTCGTTGGGCAATGGGTTATCAGAAAATTATTACATATTATAGTTTGTTGTATTTATATTATAGTATGCATTAATGTTGTATTTATCCGGTCTCTATTCTACATCTTGTATGTACAAAGTCAAGTACATCCAATTAGAATATCTTTATTCTAATTGGATGCACAGTATAACTCAATTGATTCGTGCCTATTTTTCTCTACAGTTTTTTTTGTTATTTGACATGATGTTTTGGACAGGGCGAAAAACAAGCGAAAAAAAATTCATATCATTAAAAAGAATAATGTACTTAACAACATTAACAAATCACTAACAATATTGTTACAACGCCAATACAACCTCATCGTACCTACTACGTCTATCGTACTATTTTTATGAATATTTTTCTCTACAACTTAAATCAAATTACAACAAAAAAGCAGAAACAAACGATCCGTCTTTCGAAATTACGCCAAGGTGGGTAATTAGTTTGAAATTTGCTTAATTGATCAGGTGACCCCTACCTACCTAAGGCTTTGCGGGGACAAAGGGACTTTGTAACAGCGCAACGGTGGCGACCGACTGGCGACGCGTGGAAAACAAATGCGCTCCCCGCTGTCGACATTGACCGATGGCTCTCGCGGCCCTAAAACAAAATTAGATCTGTGAAAAATTCCTCCGACCGAACACTGAATACAATTTCTGAACAATAGCCACACCACAATTACAACTTTACTGTTCACGTTTAGGTTTCAATTCGACAGGATTTCGTATTGAAGTATATTTACAACATTATTTACATTATAAATAAAGCTACCAAGTTTCAGGTTATAGAATAAAAGGCAGATGGCGGCACAATAGCAAATACTAAGTCGAAAGCGAATATCAATTCGCGGCACACTACAACGCATCGTGTTGCGAATAGGTCGAATATGTAATAGCGGGAATCGAACCCGCATCTACCTCTAGTCTGCCCGGATAGCGGGAGTCGAACTCACATCTTCCGCTAGTCTGTCCAGATAGTGGGAGTTGAAGAGGCATCTTCTACTAGTCTTCCCGGATAGCGGGAGTCGAACCGCATCTTCCACTATTCTGCCCGTATAGCGGAAGATACGGGTCGAATCCCATTTGAAAAATGGACCGAGTGAAATATTTTCTAGGAAAATATTCTTTAGATTTACCATCAGGTTTCTCATTAAGAAATTCAACAATTGTAGCTCTCCTAGCATCGATTGCGTATAGTCGAAGCCTCATTGGTGGACAATATATTTTTAAATTGAAGCGCCGCTATTTGACGGTATTTAGGTCGATATCCGCAGATGAAGTATACCTTTTTTAACTTTTAGAGGTACATAAATATAAGGCGCAGCAAATTACATAAGTCCTTCAATAAATTTGTGCTAAGCGTCCACTTTCAATAAAGAGTTTTCCTTTCGGACTCCTGTTTTTGTCCACCTGATGACGTGTAGTGTAAATGAGGCCAAAGAGATCAAACGTACTGCAACAAAAACAGAACCTGATCCTCTACCCCCTGTGGCATTGGAACCTTAATTACCAGCAGAAACACAAGCCACCAAATTAGGTAATGTTATTCTACTGTGGTTTTCTGTACGGTGAAGGTAATTTCCCGAGACAGTCGTTCCAATTCGAGTGGCGGTTTGCACTTCAAATAAAGTAGAGATAATGTGTCAGCAACAATAGCATTTTTTTGTTTTTTATTTGTAAGTCACGTGTGTTGCTTTACATTAAAGTAAGGATTATTGATTGTAATCCATTATCTTGGTATAATATTTCTCCAATAATTTGTTGAGTTAATAACACTTACGTGCTGATGGTATGATTACTGTGAGTACTTCGTTAATTATTATATAAACATTTCATCTTTAATCACTCAGTGGTTTAGATATGAAAGCGTTACAAACAAACTTACTAACTCACTTTCATACATTTATAATACCTATTAGAGTTAGGTATGATAAATATAGAAAATAACCTTATTTTGTCATCATCAAAACTGGAACAATAACTAATCACAATAATAATTTATGAAGGTATTTTAAAGGGCTATTAAAATTGCCAAAGTTTATTATTATAATGTACTAGCGGCTCGCCCTTCGCTTCGGTGTAGAGCTGAAGTGTAGACTACAGTTTTTGTTCTAAGCCTGAGATAAATGTATTATACACAATGACATTCATCTATGATTCTTCCTATCTGCATGCAAAGTTTCAGCCCGATCGGTTTAAAATTGACAAAGTTTCATACAAACCTTAATTCCCTATTTTATCCCGTTGGGGGTAAAATTGATCAAATCCTTTCTTAGCGGATGCCTACGTCATAACATCTACCTGCATGCCAAATTTCAGCCCGATCCGTCCAGTGGTTTGGGCTGTGCGTTGATAGATCACTATGTCAGTCAGTCACCTTTGACTTTTATAGATATCTATACTTTAGATGCTTGAGCGCGATTTTCTAAAATTTCTGAATAAATAGTTTCGCTGACAATGTTTGATTGATGCTTGTTCATTCATGTTCACAATATTTCGACAAATATTGGTTGATTAGTTTTCGACTACAATATAATGGTTTTAAATCAACCTAATAACTTGTTGGACTCTTTTTGATTGCATTTTTCCAATTTATTTTAATACAAGTAACGGCAAGGGCAATAGAGAGCAATTTGTGAATGACTGAGAAGACATGATTCAAGAGTACGGGACAGAAAAGATGAGGATCAGAATTAGCAATGAGCATTCAAAACTGCCATCCTAGTCGAGAATCATGCTAGAGCTCCAACATGATTATGACTTAATGGCGTTTAAAGTTTTAACTTTAAAATTCGAAACTCAATTAAAAGCCATGAAAAATTTTAAAATAGGACAAGGATGTTAGGTATCAAATAAACTAATAAAATCATTCAAAACCTTATTGCATTCACCCCAGGTAAAACTAATAACAAAGTAGGCGGATAAAGTGATAGAAAGAATGGGAAACCTTTTTTTATAGAGCTAATAAACACCGCTGTCCCATAGAGATAATCCTAAAAGCTCACCTACAGAGAGTACCTTACCTTACTAAACCCACGTATTTCAGTCAAGTTATGCTCTTGAAGATATTTTGTCGTTTTCCGGACCAGTCACAGAACAGTGAGCTGTGGCTACGGTTCCACAAACATTTCTTTACTTTTACTGGGGCGCGAACCATGACTACAGCCTTCACCCAAAAAGCTTGATTGTGTAATGCTTGGCTTGGCGCCAAATGCTTTTCCTACATCGCAAACACATTTCGATATTATTCTCCCGGTCACCTACCTTCGTGTTGTATGAAATATATTTTTATAAGCAAATCTTCGAGTTCTATTGCCAACAGATTTTCCGAACAATTTAATTTTGATCTGTTTCTACTACGTTCTATTATCGTAATGAAATGTAGAATATTCATTCATTCCGAGTAGGCAGTTTAACCTATTAGAAAGTTTATCTGTTTATTAAGTTATAATTCTGTGGCTCTACTAAGTAGCGTGTTGATGTAGTACTGAATATTAGAAGAGTTCTCTGTAATCTAGTAAACTTAGAGGCTTAACTGCTCGCTAGGTTACTTTGACGTGATATGCCAGGGTTCAGCATGTCATCGCTCATTTTGTATTATTCAGAGCTTTGCATACCTAGCTCACAGACAGCGGTTGATGCTTATAAATCCCCTGCCGAACATTTGTCTTATCTGTTAATATTTAAATAGGAAAGATCATAGTACCCATTTTGGGGCGAAATTCTTGCATCTGAATCCTTAGTAGAACGATTATTACTTGAGTTCAGGTTGAATATTTAGAAAAGTTTTTATAAGTTAACAATATTATCGAAGTTGACAATATTTAGCAGCTGCTAATATTTACTATTCATTAAAATTAAATTATATTACCTAATCGAAAAAAAAATGTTTTGGTCATGAATTTTATGACAGCCAAGCAAAATATTCATATCTTTTTTTCGTTCCTCCGAATTTCGATATGAAAACACCATGATTGCCAGCTAACCACCGTTTTTTAAACTTACCTATCAATTAATTAAATCGAATATGAGCTTTAAATCTTTAATTTTTTTCTCATTATTAAGCTTAGGATTTTTTGCCTCGTTGATATGCCAGGCCCATTGTATCATCTAAATCGGTTAACCACTCCAATCCTCTTGACTAGATTTAAAGGTTTTGGCTGTGCATTAATCGATCAGTCAGTTAGTTTATATTTTAATGTACATTTATAATAGAAATTGGCGCAGTTTGAGTGGGTTGCGGCTCCGTCCCATCGGCTTGCATAATTCAAAGCTCTGCATTCGTAATGTCCACGCTCCCGGCCGATCCTGACGGACGGACACCGCGAATTTTATTAGTAGTATCTGTATACAGCAGGCAGCCGTCCCATGCGGTAGGGTCGGGTCAAGCTGTGACACTGATAGTGATAGTCCGTCTGTTTTGAATACTAAATTTAAATTCAAGTTTTGGATTTTGATAGCATGCTCAACTAATCAAGAGACTCAGTAGAAAAAGACATTAACAACGAATTGAGCGAATATAGAGAACCAATTTACCTCCGTTTAAAAATTCGTATTCAGTCAGGCTGCCCTTGTTGGGTTAAAAGATTTATTATTGTTTAAAAAACATAGGTAGTTCGCATGACATAGCGATGATTGCGAAAATGCGTAGATATTAATTCGCGTTCTACACAGGATGGCACCGTGTTGGGACCGATATAATAATTATATTTATTCCATTTAGTTTAATGTTCTGAGTACTCTCGTCTTGCGATAAATGTATCGCATAAATTTTAATAAAAATAAGCATGGCACAAGCACAAAAAAATCTCACACCATACTTGCCTCGCAACGTCCATCGCAATATTGATTCTGTTATTATTTTTTCTTCATTTAAAAAGGTAGATATGACAAAGTCTATAATTGTGTGTGCATTTTTTTTAAAGTGACAACCCATTGAAAACCTCATGTGAAAACATAATAAACATGCCAAAATTATTGGATGAAAAGAAAATGCAAAAAACTTAACGCATGAAAAGGGTCAACCCTAGCAGGTACCATAAAGAATTATTGATACGATTGGAGCTCGCCATTCGTGCCTTCCGTGAATAGGTAAATAAAAAGTTATATTTATTCGAAGTGACCTATGACATACCAGGTAACAAGTGATATGAATTTGACATAAGCATTCTCTATACGTGTATTCTATTAAACACATGGTGATATTAAATTACGTATAAAGGGACACACGGTCATAATCAGAGACGTATTTTTTTTATGTTCAACGCCTGATGGTAAGCTTCTACAGACGCGTGAGATATAAAAAATATCACTCGTGCCGTTGCCTACACTGACCCCTTGGAGCACTGGAACCTTATTCACCGACAGAAACACAACACCACATAAACGTAGTGTTATTTTACTGTGGTATTCTGTAAGGTGGAGGTCGCAACCCTAGACGGGCGCTCGGCTAAATCGGATCCTAATACGTAACTACTTACGTTTTAAGGATTTTAAAATCGTAGATGTAACATAATTGAGTTAATGCTACCGCAGCCTAGTATTCCTTAGGCTGCAAGGCAACGTCATCTCTTCGCATTGAACGTAACTCACAATGTGAAACGAA